GGGGGGGGGGGTTCCCGAGGCGGGTCCCGCCTCTTTCCGCCCGCTGCTTCGAGCAGCAGAAGCCGGTTTTGAAAAGCGCCTTCGCTTCAAAATGCGCGGAAGTCGAGCAGCCAAGGCTCGTTTGGCAGCATGGAAACGAAGAAGCAAACGGGGGAGAGAGAAGGGGTGAATGGGCGGACCCGGCGCCGGATCCACAGATACCCGCCCGATACCAAAGGCGGCATGGGGCGTGATTTTCAAATTTGGGGAAGAGCCGGGGCGTTACGGCTTCTGTTTCTGCACTGTGCGTGGCTGAGGCTCTCTTGGCAGTTCGCGACAGCCCGAAAAGCAAGTCAAGAAAGGGCGTTAACAGAGAAGCAGCGCGAGCCAGAAGGGGCCTCCCGGGCCATCTAGCCTGACCCCCGGCTCCAGCCGGCTCCGCTCACGACACGCCCTAACGCCTTATTTTAAGAAATAAAAAATGAAAACCGCTAACACACACACTGATGACGGATTGTGTCACGGAAAACCAGCTCGGGCCCTGGATAATCCAATGCATCTTGAAACGCAGCCCTGGGCAGAAAGGGCGGGGGGGGGGCAGTTTCCACCTGCTGTGTTTGTTTGCCAGACAAAGGAAGGGCTGGGCTGCCTGCCATCTCCTTTGGAGCAGAAGCTCTGCTGTCGCTGGGCTCCTCGCCCCCCTGTTTGAGCCCCGCTGCGGGTGCTCGAGGTGGCGGCTCGGCTCGGCTCGCTTCCAAGGGCTGCGCTGAGTCGTGCCAGCTCGTTGCACATCAAAACAAGGGATTGGGCACGGGGAAAACTGGCCACCGCCCCGTGCAACGCAATTTCTGGCCATCCATCTTTGCCCCAGAATTCTCCAAATTCTTATCTAAGAGTTGCATCCCAGTATGTGCCCCCGTATTGAAAGAGCCTGATGCTGGGAAGAATAGATGGCAAAAGAAGGAGGGGACGGCAGAAGATGAGGTGGCTGGATGGGGTCACTGAGGCGCTTGGTGTGAGCTTGAGTGGACTCCGGGGGATGGTGGGGGACAGGGAGGCCCGGAGGAGTGCTGTCCATGGGGTCGCGATGGGTCAGGCACGACTTCGCGATGAGCAACAACAACAACATTACTATATGACTCTGGTGCGCCCACAACTGGAGTCTTGTGCTCAGTTTTGGGCCCCTCATTACAGGAAGGATTTAGCCAGGTTAGAGTCAGTGCAGCGCAGGGCCACAAGGTTGGTGGCCGGTTTGCAGGGGAAGCCGTATGAGGAAGGCTGAGCGCAAAAGGATTGAGGCCTTTGAATTGTGGTGCTGGAGGGGACTCCTGCGAGTCCCTTGGACCGCAAGGCCATCAAACCGGTCAGTCCTAGAGGAGATCAACCCCGACTGCTCTTTCGAAGGCCAGATCCTGAAGATGAAGCTCAGATACTTTGGCCACCTAATGAGAAGGAAGGACTCCCTGGAGAAGAGCCTGATGCTGGGAACAATAGATGGCAAAAGAAGGAGGGGAGGGCAGGGGCTGAGGTGGCTGGATGGGGTCACTGAAGCAGTGGGGGTGAGCTTGAGTGGACTCCAGGGGAGGGTGGAGGGCAGGGGGGCCCGGAGGAGTGTTGTCTATGGGGTCGCGATGGGTCGGGCACGACTTCGCGACTAGCAACAACCTTGAAAGCAGAGTACGTTTTCTGTATCTGTGCAAGAGGTCACTGAATGAAGATGATGTGAAATATTTTGGGATGGGAATAAAACGGGAAGGAGTTTAGAGTGAGGCTAGCCCAGGAATGCTGAGGAAGGACACGCAGGATGCCGTTTGGGAACGGAAGGGATCCTGGCGCACGGCGTTGCCCATCAAGGAACGGCATGTGGTTATTGCTCTGACTTCCAGCTGGGAACTTGGGTAAAGGGGTTTGCAGAAGGAATGATGCTGGCCGGAATCCCCTGGTTGTTCAGCAGCACACACCACACACCAGCCTCAGGCAGGTGTCACAGCTGCGACCACTCGGCATGCTTGCCTGTGCTCTGGACTTGCTGTCGCAAAAGGGCTGTTTGTGTAAAGTGCCCGTGTAAAGTGTAAAGTGCCCGTGTCTCCATCAGGATGGGACCCACGGCACTCCGGTGACACCTCACACTGAGAAACCGCCACACGCAGAAGCGGCATCTCAGCAAACGGCCTGCCGGAGACGGGCCCCCCCTCCCACTGGGACTGGAGCCCCCGGGAAGTCGGGCACCCCATGCATTTCCCCCGGCCGGTTTGGGGGAGGCTTTCCTTTGATGCCCCCCCCCCCACATGTCCCGCGATTCAGGACATCACAGGAGGACTCGGGTTCTGCAGTAAGACAACACCCAAGCCTGCACTCGTCCCCCGCAACTCCCCCAGGCCAAAAGGAGATGGACGGCGGGGGGATTGCCCCCCTCCACCGCGTAATCCGCTTGCCTCCCACTCTGCTTCCCGGTCCCTGCAACAGAAGCCCCCCGGAATACCTGCAAGGTGCACGGCTGCCTCGCCTGTTTTGCCGGGCGGCAGCTCAGCCTGGGGGATTCGTGGCCTGGCCGCTCTTCGCCCGCAGCTCCTTCCTCTCTCCGTCTCTCCCAGATGACTGAGCCTGAAGCAGCCGTTAATTGCACGTTAAGAGCCACAGGTTTCAGCCGTGGAAACGAGCCAGCGCCTGCTGCCCCGGCACTTCTCGGGTGCTCTGCCTGCCTGTGCAGCGCTGCGATGCGGCCCCCGATTCAGCTCTGGTTTAAGGGCTGGCAGGCAGCGAAAGGCCCGAGCTGGGGAGCGTGAAGCTCCGTGCCGCCAGCCGCTGACCGGGGAAGCGGGAGCGCCGCAGCCCAGCAGCCGGCCAAGCCCCCGTAGGGCCAGCCGGCCAGCCTGCGGCTCCGACGCACCTTTCGGAGGGCTGGCCTCCGGGGAGGCCGCAGAGCTGCTCCCGGAGGCATTGGCTGCTGCGGCGCTTCTGCCACTGCCAGTTCTCCTTGCAGTTTGCTGTCACCACTGGGCTACTGCGGCGCATTTTTGTGTGTGGCCGTGCTGCGTGTTAGGATTCGGCTGCTCTTTTTGTGTATTTGCTCCTGAACGGCCTTGGCAAGCTGATCTGTTCTGCAGGAGGTGTAAAAGTCCAAGGAAGGAAGAAAGGAAGGAAGGAAGAGGGAGGGAGGGAGGGAGGGAGGGAGGATCAGGCATTGCTTGTCTTTCCAACTAACTTAGAGAAGGGAGATTGACGGGGTCTGGAACCCTGAGCCCATAAACCAGCAAATGACAGTCAGGGCTGTATGGTTCATAGCAACACAACCCCTTCATGGAACTATTCTACAGAACTGGAATCATCCCGATGCGAAGAACAGGAAGGGGGTCCCTGCTCAGCGTCCAGCCAGGCAAAATCAGGCCGCCAGCCGTGTCCGTGCTCCATTCCTTCCTGTTTATCACCTGAGCCAGGTGGACTCCGTGGCTCCAGCCATTTGTCCGGAGCACCTGGCGCCTCCCAGCAACCTCCCGCCTGGCTTTTCCTTCGGAACAGTGGCCACGGAGAGGCCCAGGCCCAGGCCCAGGCCCAGGCCCGGGGGTTCGTTAAGCCGGCCCGTGTGGGGCGGGCGTGGTTCTGCCCTGGAAAACCAGGCAGGAGGTTAGTGGGCTTTCCTTGCACAAACAGGAAAGGCCTGATTAGGCACATGCATTTGCATATGCAGCTTTGTGTGATCCAGCCCTGGATCTCTCTGGAAATGGGCACAGCCCTGCTGGCTGCCCTCCAGCTCCGGCCCGGCAACGGGAATGCTGTGGGATGGGTGGGCCTGGCAGCCACCAAGGGAGCGGCCTCAGGGGCACCCAGGAATCTGCAGTGGGCCCTGTGCCTGTGAGTGTGCGTGTGAGTGTGTGTGTGTGAGAGAGAGAGAGATGCAGGGAAGGGAGGGAGGAGAGAATCCATCCTGCCGCAATTCGCTGTTATTCCACCGCGGTCCAGTCCGGGTTGCTTAGTCCAGGCCTGCCCATTCCGGGGAGGGGGGGGCTGAGGAGGCGGGTCAGCAGCATGAGAGGGGCTGGCAATGCCCGGGGCGAGTGCAGGTGTCGTTCCCCGCCCCGCCCCCGCCATTCAGTGGCCAGGTGTTTCCTCCACGCAGAGCCCCCGGGGCCCCCCTTCTCCCACCATTCCTGGCTTTGCCGCTGCTTCCACCGCCCGGCCGGGCAGCTCCTCCTCCGGTGGCGTGTGGCCAGGAGCCTTTCGGCTGTGCAAGCACCGTCTCTCCTGCAGGCATGGCACCCCGGAGCGTCCTCTCCAATTTGGGAGCTGGGCACAAGCAAATTTTTACTGTTAAATGGTACTTTAATTATTTTAGCATCAACTACTGGCACTAAGGAGTTTTGTATTGTTTTATTACTGAATTGTGTTTTTTAAATTGTAAACTGTCGTGCAATTTTTAATGAATGATGGCATATGACATTTTAAATGAAATAAATTTTAGAGGCAAAGCCCCTCTCTGACATTGATGAAGATGGGTGGAGGGCGCCCCGGGGCACCGAGGCCCCTTCCTGAGCAGGCGCTTGCCCTCCGAGGCCGCAGCCGGGCCCACGCGCCAGGAACCCCCCCTGCCGGCTTGCCCTGGAACTTGCTGCCCCAAGGGCGGCCTGGCCACCGCCGGACCTGTCGGGGTGGGAGGCCTCCCGGTCGCTGCGTTCAGGCCCGAGCAGCCCGGAGCGCACGCTGAGGGGCTCGGCCGCCCCCGTGTTCGGCACTGGCACCTCCCGGGGGCCGCGCTGGCCATCCGCCCCAGCGATCGGCGTTCGCCTCGCCCTCCCGCTGATGCGGCACTGTCGTCCTCTTTGGGCGAGAGGCTGCGGTCCCCGGGCGACGTCTGTGGGCCAGGACCCTCGCGCAAACGTCCCCTGCGCTCTCTGCCGCCGACCCAGCTGGGCCGTGGCTGCTCTCGGGCTTCTCTGGGAACAGGCCCTCCGGAGAGGCTCCGTGCACTAGTGGGGGAGTGAGGGTGGGGGTCCAGGGGTCCCGCCGCCGGGCCACGGGGCTCCCCCTGCTGGAGAGGTGTGGCGCACCACCCACTGGCGCGGCTGGAAGCCGACCTCGGAACCAGAGACACCACTGAAGCAGGGAGGTTCGTGGATGTGGCAGATGCTTTATGCATCTGTGTACCGATCGCCTGAAACGTGCCCGTTGGGCTTTTTAAAAAAAGGAACTGGGAAGGTGAGGAAATTACACTTATGATGCAGCCGTGACAAGGCATCTGCAGCCCACTTCTTCAGGCAGGACAAGATGTCTGCAGGAAATCTGCACCAGGCCATGGCGATCGCTGTGACCAACACGGCGACGACCAGGAAGGCACGGACAAGAGCCACCGCGGCTGCAAGAGCAGTCATGCCGAACGCACTCCCAGCAGCGCTTTCCACGGCGCTTCCGCTGCTGTAGTGGCCGCCTCCGTTCTCCCGGACCAGCCCCTGCACCATCCCCAGCAG